TGCAATTCCCACACTGTGTCTCTGGTGTTGTCCCCCGCAGGGCCGTGGGTCAGTGAGGGGCATCATGTCTCATAGTGGGGCTGGCCATGTAGTCCTCTCTGTGGACTGGCTGCTCTAATTGGGGTCATCGTCCTCAAGGCCTGGTGGGCTCATGAGCTTTTAAGACTCCTGCCATTATTCACCAATTAGGATGTGGAACATTGTGGGCAACAGTTATGTCAGTTGACCTCGATGCCTTCTGAGACTACAGCCCTGAGCCTCCCCAGCCCCACTAACTTATTCCTTCAAGATGTTTGGTTTTGACCAAGAAGTTTTTATAACTCTGTCCCTGGATGCTCTACCACATCCAGGGAGATATTTGCAACAAAGTCACTTAAAGTATTATTAGAAGGTAAACATTATTAGAAGAGTAAACATCAAGCAACGTATGCTTTTCAGTTAATTGGGCTATTACTCTGATAGAGAGACAGGATTGAAGCTCTTTGGAGACTCTAGGATTGTGCCACATGCTTACAGCTGATCAACCTGTCATTGCTGGGCTTAGAAATCAGATTCGTAAATTGAGAACGTTCAAAAGGTAGCAGTTGAGACGACTGAGTCTCTCTTCTCTGGTTACGTTGGTGGGCAGAGTCAGTAGAAGTAAATGCATCCAATGTAAATTGTTTACAAGAAAGATGATATGACGTGAATTATCCCCCATGGGAGCCTGCAAACGTGATTCCAAACAATGGTTTGTTTCACTTTCCATCCTCTGTCTTAGGGTTTCCCAGTACCTCTGCGCAATGGGACACCTTCTTGCCTTAAATGTAGCCTCCTGGCATCATCTTATATCGAGTAATGGAAGATCTTGATTCATTAAGAGTTTACCGTGAGCCGGACACTCTTTCCTTGATTCTTTATAAGAACCCGTTTTACAGATGAGGAAACTGAAGCTTCAAGGAGTGAGGCAGTTTGCCTCTAGGCTCACCCAGCTGGGAAAAGGATTGAGCCAGAATTCACATCTATGTGCCCATCTGATGGTAGATTCTTAGACCCCTTTACTCCCATGCTGCCACTGGATACGGAGGGAAAGAGTGCTTGGGTCCAGCAGCCTCCTGGTCACCTACCAGCCCACATCCATCTTTTCTGTGCATATACATGGCCCCAGTGATTCCACCGCCACCGTTATCCTTAACTTCTTCCGCTGATAAGTTGGCAGGCATTATTCTGCTTTAAACTAAGTTTGGGATCTCTATTGTCAGACACAGTGGCATAGTGATTATTTGTTGGGCTGCAGTCTGCAAGGCCCACAGTTCGAAACCACTAGCCACTCCTCGGGAGAAAGACAGGGCTTTCTACTCTCATAAACACAGCTGGCGTCAGCTCGATGACAGTGAGACAATACATTGAAAATCGGGGAGGCATGATTTTCGACCGGTTTACTTGGAATGTTTTTCTCAGCTGTGTTACTTCTGTTTTTGTTTTTAATGTTTACATTTGTATGTTTTAAATTCATTGTCATCGAATCGATGCCAAGTCATAGCAACCCTATGGGGCAGGATAAAACTGCCTGTGGGTTTCTGAGACTGCAACTCTTTATGGGAGTAGAAAGCCCTTTCTCCTTTTTTTTGTGGTAAATTTGTTTTTTCTTTATTTTTTAACATCATTTTATTGGGAGCTCATACAACTCTTACCACAATCCATACGTCAGTTGAATCAGGCATGTTTGTACATATGTTGCTCTCATTCTTTTCTAGACATTTGCTTTCTATTGAGCCCCTGGTATCAGCCCCCTGCCCCTACTTTTTTAAATATACATGTTTTTTAGAGCAGTTTTAGGTTAATAGATAATCATGCACAAAGTACATTGTTCCAATAGACCTCCTCATCCCTACAGTTTCTCTTATTCCCACTGCACATCATGTGACACATTTGCTTCAGTTGCTGACCCAGCAAGGGGGTATCGTTATTTATTTATTTTGGGGGCGGGCATTGTTATTAACTGAAGTCCATTTTCATTAGGGTTCACTTTTTGTGTCGTGGACTGCCCATTGAGCTACTAACTACAAGGTCAGGGATTTGAACCCACTAATTGGCTCCGTAGTTCTCCTAAGGAAGAGACAATCGGCTCCCACAGAGATTTACAGCTTCGGAAACCCAGAGGGGCAGGTCTCGTTTGTCCTATGGGGTCATGATTGGGAATCGACTTGAAGGCTGTTGTGTAGTCGTACAGTTGTCTGGGTTTCGATAAGTGCATAACGCCGTGAGCCCGCCATTACAGTAGCATACAGAATGGTTCCATTGCCCTAAAGATCCCCTGCGCCCCCAATCACTGGTCCAACTAGTGTTGTCTTTTCCAGATGGATACTGGATTGGAATCCTACATCTGGAGCCTCCCTCCACAGGCTTCTCTGACTTCACAATAGGCATTTAAGGATCTTTCCTAACTTTTCATGACTTGATAGCTCGTTTTAAAACTAATGTTATATATTAGTTGTTGACTCTAAACAGCAAAATATACGGCAATTCAAGTGTCTACGTGGGCCGTTCAGTGACCTGATGACATTCTCAGAGTCATACAACTTTCTCTCCTTTTGGTATCGGTCTCCTCCCACTGGCCTAAGCCCCAGCCCTCCACATTCTTTCTTTCTTTAAAGTAATTGATTTTCCATGTCATGGTGCCCTCTGACGGTCTTATCGGATCTTTAGTCTGCGGTGGTCCGTGATCCTGGTGGATGGATCTAAAACTAAAAGAGCATAATGCTCAAGGCAGACAGTCTGTACCAGCTCCCGGAGTGTTTAGTTTTACACAGAACTCAGGAGAGATGTTGGGCTTCAGTCTTAAAGATTAACGCAGGTCAGTGGTTCTGAGGGTTCTTCCAGTCTCCATAGCACCAGAAAAGTCTAGATTCCACGAGAATCTGCGTTTTTTCCCCTTTGATCAAAGATTCTTCAATCCAAATGGTAGTCATGATAACCAGGCACCGTCTTGTTCTGGGCCCCTGGCAGGGCAGACAGTTGTGCTTGGAGGCAGATAGGCCGCGTTCCAGTTCCTCTCCTCTTGCTGACTTTCTTCCATGGTTGCTACACGTGAGCAATCGTACCTTGAGTAGCCCACCACTTGCAAGCTTTGAAGACCCCAGGCCACTACCCAGTGAACTAAGAGGTGCAACAGATGCACTGAATGTATTACTAGGCTAATTAACTGGGGTGTCCCATGAAACCCTTACCCTCAACCTCTAAACCAAGGAACCAAATCCCATGAAAGGTCTGAGTGTACATAATCAGCTTCTGCAGCTACTCTTTTTTTAAAAAATCATTATAAATATACCTATCACAATGTTTACCAGTTCAATTTTTTTTTTAACAAGTGTTCAAACTTACAGTAGTGCAGTCATTGGCAGTGCAGCCCTACCCTTTATCAATGGGATTTCTACTCATTTCTTTCTCCTTGAGTAATACTTAGGTCATTGTATGGCTTTGCCAGGCTTGGTTTAGTCATCACCTACTGAGGACACCTTGGTTCCTTCCACTTTGGGGGGGTCATTGCGAATGGCATTGCTGTGAGCACCCAGGTGCAGACCTGCTCCTTTGATTGCTCTTTTGCAGGAGTGACAGCTTTGAGAACCCAGTGCTGCAGCAGCACTTCAGGAACCTGGAGGCCTTAGCTTTGGATTTGATGGAGCCTGAACTAGCTGAAGACCTGACAAGTAAGACGGTTTGGGCTTCGTTGAGAGGATTGAGGATGCACTCTGGATCAGTTATGGGGATGCGTGGCCCAGCGCGCTCACACTCACCTTCTAACCCACCAGGTCCCCTGTCGGAGGGTCTGCTAGGCCCCTGGCTGCCCAGGAAAGGGTTTGTCTGGGGCTCTGCAGTGAGAGGATTGGGCTTGTGAAATCTGCCCTTGATTAGCCACCTGGTGAGGACATGCTGGTGACGTGAAAACAGTGATAAGGCAGTTGCTTCATGCTCCTTGTCTGCCACATGCTGGGTTCCTGGGGGTTGACTCATTCGGTCCTCATAACGCTGAGCGGTGTGTGTGTGTGTGTGTGTGTGTGTGTGTGGTGTGTGTGGTGTGTGTGTTGTGTGTGGTGTGTGTGGTGTGTGTGTGTTGTTCTTGGCCCCCTTACAGATGCTCAGGGCCCAGAGAGTGACTTGTGTGTGTTGTGTGTGTGTGTTGTTATTGGCCCCCTTACAGATGCTCAGGGCCCAGAGATGGAGTGACTTGCCCAAAGTCACTGACTAGAAAGTGGTGGCTCTAGATTAAGAATTCAATGAACCTCACCCTGGCTCTCAACCATGATGTGACGGCCTATACAGACCCCTCCATCACGCTTGGTGGGCCCAGCATCAGGGAGGGAGACGGGCCGGCCTTCCAGGCTGAGGTTCTCCTTCCTGGTTGGGCTTCTGCGTAGGTCACAGGAGGAGGCAGGACTTTAGTGCTATTAGTAAATAGCCCCTGGGAAACGGGCTGGACTGAGTTAGGGCTCCTGAGAGAAAGGTCCAGCCGTTCTTCTGGCCTCTCAGTCCCACTGCCAGCATTCCTTCATCCAAGACAGCGCCTGTATCCCATCCCCTCACGTGAGAATGCTGGTGCCCTGGTGGCACAGTAGTGAATGTGCTTAGCTGGTAACCAACAGGCAATGGTTCAAACCCACGTGAGAGCAAAGACCCGGCGATCTGCTCCCATAGACAAAGCCGAGGCAACCCTAGGGGTCGACCACCAGCACAGAAGCACAAAGTACTAAGTAACATGAGAAAGAACAATAAAGACAGCTTACCCGTAGCCACTGGCCTGCCTCTGCCTTCCACTCCTTCAGTCCATCCTCCACACAGCTATGTGGGGAGTTTTCTCCACGGCCAGTTTGTTACTGTTGGGGTTAGTTTTGGACTTCACTGGAAAAGGATAGTGACCAGGGGCATACATGAAGACCACCATCCAGGCCATTGAATAGAAGTGTGAAAATAGTGAAACTGACCCACACAGTGAAAACACAGTGAAATTGACCCACACAGTAGTGTCCCCAGGGCTCTGAGGATAAAGTCTTCATTCTTCAGCAGGTTCAAAGCACCCCTGACTTGGCCCCACCTGCCTGTCCAGCCTCCCTTCTGGCCCTGCCCTCCTCACCGGCTCTTTCTCTCCGAACATGGTGGTTAAGGAAGCAGCCTTTGGAGATGGCTGGGATCCCAGCTGGGTGCTTATTGTCCTGGGTGTCAGCTTGAGTCCCATTTTCTGCTGGGAGCGGCATTTTCCGGGAGCTCCCACTTTCTGCTGGGAGCCCAGACTCTGCTGTGGGTCTTTCTGCCTTCTCTGCTCACAGGTTTCCTATAGCCCCTCCTGGCATGACACTGCCCACTCTTGTGTCTATGCATCTACTCACCTGGACCATAAGCCCACAGAGGGCATGGAGTGGGCCTGAACTCGGATTTGAATACTTCACTTCCATTCTACAGCCCAGCTCTGCCACTCACCTGCTACTTGATCTTGGACTGGTCACTTCAGACCTGCATTCCTTCCTGGTAAACCAGGGAGACCACTTTGACTCCTCAGCCAGCTTGTCAGGAATAGAGTTAAAAACCTTTAGGAGCGTGCCTGGCTGTAGTTAGTGCTCATGCAAATGTGGTTATTAGAAGGTACTTGGTAAATGTAGGAAAGGCCTAGGATGTGTTAGTGGCCAGACCACAACAGCTGCCCCTAGCCCACCCCGACCCAGCAGTTAAATGTCCTTTCCTCAAGCTCCTGTGAAATTGAAACTTGAAGCCACAGTTCATGACTCAACAGGCCACTTTTCCTGTGCTTTGGTTTTCTAGTGCCCAAAGTGGAAGCAATGGATAAAAGGCTGGGTTCCCTGGTCGATGAGTTTAAGGAGCTGGTCTACCCGGCAGATTATAATCCCGAGGGGAAAGCCACCAAGCGAAAACCAGGTGAGCAACCAGGTGTGGATGTTACCTGGGCTACTTGATTTCTGAACTTTTATTTAAATTGCGTACCTCCCTGGTGTTATGTTCACGTAAGAGGTCTATTGTTTGGCTATAAGTTGAGCCACAAAGGTGAGTTTACTTCTAGGCTTGAAGGATGATTGAGGGCTAATCTGGGTGCTCCAGCAGTCTCTATCCAACCAGTAAGCCTGGTCTTTGTTAGGGTTTTGAGTTTTGTTCCACATTTTTGCCCCACTCTATCCAAAACCTTCGACTGTGATCCCTTTCAGAGGGGTTACTAGTGCCCTAGAGCACCCTCAGTGTCATGGAAGCTATGGTTCGATGGTCCAGTGGTGCTTTGGACTACTTGTTTCTATGCATCTTTGATTTTCTTCACTCTGCTTTGCCCCAGAGTGGGTTTTTGTAAAAAGTTGCCTTTATGGTTGTAAAAATGGTGTGGCTGTGGTGGAGCATTGAGCTCTAACTTCCTGAGGAGGTAGAATCACACCAATAACATCAATCTAAGAAGGATTCCTATGAGACAGAGGTCAAACATACCTCCTCTTTCTACCCTTTCTATCAATTCAGACACCAGCCATCCCTCCCACAGTACCACTTCTCTATTGGGTTTGACAGTTCAAACTCACAGAATACGAGGATGGAGTTTATTACAGAAACCCAGGATAATTCTTTGGTCAGGGCAGTTTTGTTCAGCCTGCGTGGGCAAGTATTATAAAGCTCTTTAGATCCACTCATAAAAGTGCTCAGGGGTGCCCTACTCCTCAGCAAGCCTCATGTCTGAAGGTGCCCCAGGCTCCTGCACGTGAGTGAGCAAGCCCACTGAACTACTTCCCAGGTTTTGCTGCCATTTCTGACTTTTGCTGCACCTTGCTGACTCGTGTTACAGCTATCTCCTGGGTATAGGAGGCTCCCAGCACAGGGACCTCAGGTCCAAAGAACATGCTCGCTGCTCTTTTCTTGGTGATAGTCATCTAGTCCCACTCCACCCTCCTACTCGTTCCCCAACTCCTATCCCTATGTTCTATGACTGGCTGTCATTTAAGCCCAGTGGGATGGCAAATACAGATGAACCCCCTTGATTCCATATACCGTATTTGTGTAGTCTCACCTCCACAAGGGTGCCATGAACTTTATTAACATTAGCAAGCGGTTCAATCCCCTTGGTAAGCCACAGGCACCTCGTTTGCATAATCCCACCCAGTCATTTGGTGGCAGGATAAAAACTGGTCTCCTCATGGCGAACTTCTTTTCGGAAATTTCAGTATCTTTGAAGTCCATTTTCCCACAACCTTTAGTACAAAGGGCATAGTATTTCATGGTGGGTCTGCGCGTTTACTACTCAGCTGCATGTTGGACAGTTCTCTTTTACGAACTGAACACAGCTCCTTCACTTCATCAAGGCTGAGTATCCCATGGTTGGGCATGGCTTTTACTGATGGATCCTCTGCAAGGAGCAGCCCTTTCTCTTCGTGTTTATGTTTTCACGAGGGGGTAAATTTTTTTTTGTCTTGATATGTATTCACATATTTGTTGAAAATGGGATGGATCTATTTTTCTTCTATGACTTTCCTAACGATCTTTATGGATTTTCCCGTATTGGACGGTGTTTTTTTTCATTGCTCAACCCAAGGTCCTCTTGATTGGGACTTCATTCTCTCCAAAAGGACCTTGTTCATCATTTTGAGTTCTGGCTTTCTGGCTCTTTGGTCAAATAAAGCCACCTGACCAGTCTGAGGTGGAGCCATCAGGGTCAGCTTGGTGGTCCTGGTGCTGCTGATCCCCTTTGGCCTCAGCAGTGACTCCCAGGACGTGAGCTGCCAGTGTAGCTACCTTTGCTGGCAGTGTCACTGTTTGGGGCAGCCCCTGGACACTGTCAGCACCCACACGACCCCCTCCCTTCAGTGCCATACATTTTGTTTATACTAAATGAAGCTGCCTTGTCATCATAGCTCTCTTCCTTACCATGTTTCTGTGGAAAACCGCAAACTGCTGCCCAGATATTTGTGTAAGGTCGCTGCGGTGCTTCAGGAAACATCAGTCACCCCCACCTCCCCCAGGTGATGACGGCTCTGGAAGCAAGAGGCCCAAGGTGGAGGTATCTGAGGAGGAGCTGAAGGCCCACATCTGCAAGGGCACGCTGGGCAAGCTGACTGTGCCCGCATTAAAGGAGGCCTGCAAGACCTATGGGCTGAAGGGTGGGCTGAAGAAGCAGGAGCTGCTGGACACGCTCACCAGGCACTTTCAGGGCTAACCAGCTGGGCCACCCTTCCACACTAGCCAGGGGGGTTTATGCTCCTCCTTGGAGCCAGGCGTGGACCTGACAGGAACCCTTTTTGAGACTGTTGCCATGGAGATGGTGTGGCCCTTCACTTGCTGTGCCTTACTTTAAATAAAGAACCCTTACTTTGTACTTCATGCTGGCTGTGGTCTGCAAGAGGTGTCTCGCCTTGCTTGCCATTGGTGGAGTCTGATCATCTCACTGGGAGCACAGCCTGCACTGGAAACTTGGAAGGGGTGGGTGGGTGGGTGTAAAAATCCCGGGCTGATGAACTTACCTCAGGGTTCTCTGTCCTCTTGCCTTCTCAAGGTGCCAGGTTATGGTCTGAAAAGCAAAGCTCAGAGCAGCAGGAGCAGCACTGAGCTCAGTTTTCTGTTCCTCCTCTGTGGGACTGAGACAGGATCCACTCCCCTACATTCTGCTCTACCTCCCCGCCTTCTCAGGGGACACTGGGCAATATCTGAGGACACTTTGGTTGCCACAACTAGGTGGTAGGGATGCAACTGGCATGTGGGGTAGGAGCCAGGGATACTACACAGGCCCATCCCTCAGCAGTGACCCAGCCCAGACTGCCACGGCTGCCAACTCTGCGCAAGCTAGCCCTGCCGCATAAACAGCACGAATGACCACGTGGCAGAGGGCGCCACCCGGAGGAAGCCTCTGTGACACGGGAATTTCCATCGTGCTGGTTCTGCAGCCTCTTGTGGAAAAGCTGAGGTACTACAGCCACTCGAGCAACACCGTACCTGTCTCCCAGCACCAACCGGATCCCCAAGAACCAGGCGCCGCCACACTTGTTCTTTACACCGAGCGTGAGTAAATCCTTTTATTAGAATGCTCTCAAGAATGAATTAGCTCACATGAGCACTGTCCCTTTTGGGGGGAGAGGACACGGCTGCCAGGCATTGTGGCAGAAGCAGCGCTGGGGCTCTCAGCATCTGCACAAAATGTCCACTGAAGGAACCCACACACAGGTTTCCTGGGATTCGGCTGCCTTGGGCTGTCCCAAGTCTCCCTCGCCCAGGCTGCCTCTGAACCAAGCTTGCAGGACCTCTCTGGCATGATTGCTGCCCTGCTCAAGTCATAGGGGCACACTGGTAGCTGAAGATGCCCAAACGGCTCCCCAACACAAGCGTCCCCCCAACCCACCCAAGTGACCCACCCCCTAGAAAGCAAAGGAAAGCTACCAATCCTTCACATGTATGTAAGGTTCTGTGTGCTGGGCATACAGGGTGCCCAGTGGGTCCTTGGAGCGGGCCCAAGCTGGAGCCAGAGCTCTGACTTGGTTCTACAAGGTTGCTCCTGGCTGATCCCTGCCTCTGAACGCAGCCCCCACGTGCTGCTTTCTTCCAGGCACTAGCTCTGGGTCCAAAGGGAACAGGAGGAGATGGCAGAGAGAAGGAGGGAGAGAAAAAGGGCAACGAAACAATACAAAAATTCAAAAACCAGGACAATATTTCACAACGATGAGGGAATGGCGCACTAGCCCAGACCACCTCCGACCCCCGCCTTGGACAGGGGCCTAGACAAGGAGCCTCTCGACGGACTGCTGGACGGACTGGATCTGCTGCTTCAGCTGCGAGCCCTCCTTGATGGTGACGGAGCAGGCGATGACAGGCCTGGACACGCCACAGGCCCGGCCCAGGGCCTGCTTGGAGCGCACAAACACATAGGGCACATTCTTGTCTTCACACAGCAGCGGGAGGTGCAGGATGATCTCCAGCGGCTCGGCATCCGCGGCCATCACGATGAACTCCGAGATGCCTCTGTTGAGGGTTTTGGTGGCTGTGGAGAGAACAGGGCTTGAGGCCAATGCACCGTGGGGGCCAAGAGCAGGCTAGCCACCACAAAGCAATTTCCAGGGAGAGAAAACCACTTCGAGGAAACCAGGCTAAACCCACAAGCAACTGTACAAGCAATTCCAGGTTCTACAGTTGCCCTAAGAAGCAGTAAGGGATTAAAACACCAATTAGTCACCCAAACCCTACACCCATCCCATCACTGTCTTCAAAGCGTACCTCGGACCAGACACACTGCATCCCAACCTCTGCTGCCACGTGTGCTGTGCACTAGGCACTGGTGTTCTGACCTGAGGGGCAGCCAGTCCACATTCCCATACCAGCTGTGGTCAGGACCAGGGCCACCCTCCCCACCTGCAGCCCAAGCGCAGCATTACCTCTGGAAGGGTTGCCCCCGCCAATCTAACAACTCCGGACAGCTTAGAAAAACAGACCCGTTGGAACAAAACAAAGTGCTGGCCCATGGCCCACACTGCAGCAGCACTTCCTTCAGAACAGACTCTAGAGCCAACTGGTCCAAATGCAAAACCTAGCTCCTACTCGCATTAGAAGAAACAGCTCCAACTCCCATTATTACAGGAACGTGGAATGTCAGAAGTATATAAAATCTAGAAAAATGGGAGATCATGAACCTTCAATCAAAAGCAAACTCACTGTCAATGTAGTCGATTCCAACTCAGCAACCTGTAAGGCAGAGTAGAACTGGCCCTGTTGGTTTCCAAGACTGCCAATTATGGGCGCAGAAAGCCCCATCTTTCTCCCAAGGAACAGGTCGTGGGACCAAGCTTGCAGCTAGTTGCCCATGTGTAACTCACCAAACCACACTGACTCGAGTGAGCAAGAATGGACTGGCCATTTTGATTAGAAGAATCATGGTCTACGCTGGGAGTGACAAAAGGGAATGGCATTGCATTTTTTGATCAAAAGGATGATTTCAAGATTTATCTTGAAATAGAAATATGATAGGAAAATATCCATATGCCCACAAAGAAGACAGAATAATATAACTATCATTCCAATCCTAATGCCTAACAAAGAAAATGAAAGCATTTTTTACCAGCTTCTGCAGTTTCAAACTGATTAAACATGAACCCAAGATGCACTGGTAACTGCTGGTGGACAATGCATGCAAAATCTAGAATCACAGGACTGGTGGCTGGCAACTAACTATGTCCTTGCCGACAGAAATGTTGCTGGAGATCACAGGATAGGACTTTGCAAACCCAAGGGATTCTTCATCGCAAACACCATTTCTCAACAACATAAAAGGTGTTTATACACACAAACCTCACAGGAGTCAATCAGACTACACCTGTGCAAAAAGACGATGAAGAAGCTCAATATTATCAGTCAGAACAAGGCTCGGGGTTGACTGTAGAAGACCAATAGTTGCCATGTGCAAGTTCAAGTTGAGGAAAA